ACACTTTTAAAATATATTAACACAAAATATCACAAAAACACAGTTTATGTCCGAAAATCCTCCTTTTACATGTATCCTTCCAATCGTAAATATAAGAAAGTCACTGTTTGTAATGTTGTACGCGGTAAACAGCTGTCATGGGCCCAGAGAAAAAAAATAGAAGGGGAAAGTGCACTATGGAATTTGGGGAATACCTATAATGTAGAGAGCCTGGAAACTGAAGGGGAACCCTTCAGCTCCTGACTTCCGCAGAATGTTGCCGGCGCTGTCTTCGGGGTGTCTGGATAAAAATTCACCACCTCTGGTACAGTAGAACTGCCCTTACTGTAGAATCAGCTGATTGCCCTGGTTTTCTTGGTTACATCATTCCTCATCGGGGAGCCATTTTGTAGAGTTGGTTTGGATGAAAGACATGACCAACTCTGACTGGGTGTTCAATATTTATTTTGATGATGTGAATATGAAACCAGGTGCAACTGGCTGACCTCTGTTATATAAAATTATAAATATCAAATCCGTTCTATAAAGAACAAACGTGAAGTTGACTTATATAGATATAATATTCAAAATGTTCTATAAAGAACTACTGAAGTTCACCTTACAATGCAAAGTATGAAAATGATTTCTTAAACACTCTCATCCAATCACATTCTTACTTAACAAATATACAAGATATTTATTGGACATCACTTAACAACACAGGACATAACAAGGACATAACAAGAGACAGTTCACTGAGCATAGTAACTCACAACAAGATGAAGACTTTACCCATAATTCTTATAATGATGAATGAAAATGATGTCATGTGATTATGCCTGGATGAATGAAAATGTACAGTTAGTTATTCACTACAGTGATTACAACTGTGTTTGTAAATATAGGATGAGTATACAGATAGGCAGTAAATTGACCTTATCTACATATAGTTATAGATCAATTCGGTTTAATCAATCCATGATAAACAAGAAATACATCAATTTTTGTTTTGGTTACGAAAATACTCTACATTTGTCTTTTTATATGAAACGAAAATGTAAATGTAGTAATGTTAATACTATCTTGTATGTTTCTTAGGGAAATTTTTAACAAGTGCATAAGATATTTTCATTTTTGTCTGCTTATCTAACTAAGTTTTGATCTTTTCTACATTTACCTTATTAGTCTTTTTCTATGTTGAGGTGTTTAAAAGATATTAAAATAGATTTAATTTATAGAAAAGAATATTTCTTGTAGTATTCTGTTTTGTCATCTATCAAGCATACACAGTTTTCATTTTTAATGCATGCAAACTTGTTATTTAATTGGTTAATTGTAACAAAAGTGTTATGATGAAGTGAAAAATAGTGTAAAGTAATGTTTTTGATGGTTTGGTTATTTGGAAATAAATAAGGATGATATTTGTTATATACATATTGCCACACACTTATTTTGTTAAGATATGTTTTAATAAATTAAAATAAAATATTTCTATGACAGGCTGTAGATATCGTTTTTCTACGAAAGCCTAATAGTGTCAAATAAAATAAAAAAATAAAAATGCAAAGGCATTAAAACGCGAATGAAGGTGTTATTACGCGAATCAAAAGGCGTAATTACGCAAATCAAAAGGCGTAATAACGCGAAAAAAAGGCGTAGAAACGTGAATTAAAGCGTTATTACGCGAATAAAGGCGTTATAACGCGAATCAAAAGGCTTTATAACGCCCTTTGTTTTGCGTTATTTCGCCTTTTGGTTCGCGTTATTACGCCATTATGTTCGTGTTACTACGCCTTTATTCGCGTTATAACGCCTTTGATTCGCGTTATTACGCCTTTTGTTTCGCGTTATTACGCGAATAAAGGCGTTATAACGCGAATCAAAAGGCGTAGTAACACCTTTAGTCGCGTTATAGCGCGAAACGAAAATCGTAATTACGCGAATCAAAAGGCGTAATAACGCCTTTTTTCGCGTTATAACGCGAATCAAAGGCGTTAAAACGCGAATAAAGGCGTTAAAACGCGAATTGAAAGGCGTAATAACGCGAATCAAAAGGCGTATTAACGCCTTTATTCGCGTTATAACGCGAAACAATAGGCGTAATTACGCGAATCAAAAGGCGTACTTACGCGAATAAAGGCGTTATAACGCGAATCAAAAGGCGTAATAACGCGAATAAAGGCGTAATAACGCGAATCAAAAGGCGTACTAACACAAACAAAAAGGCGTTATAACGCGAATCAAAATGCGTAATAACGCGAATCAAAAGGCTTAATAACGCCTTTATTCGCGTTATAACGCGAAACAATAGGCGTAATTACGCGAATCAAAAGGCGTACTTACGCAATAAAGGCGTTATAACGCGAATCAAAAGGCGCAATAACGCGAATAAAGGCGTTATTACGCGAATCAAAATGCATTATTACGTGAATAAAGGCGTTTTTACGCGAACAAAAAGGCGTAATAACGCAAACCAAAAGTTGTAATAACGCAAAACAAAAGGCGTTATAACGCTTATTTAATACCATATAAATTCCAAACAGTGGCCTAGTAATGTAAGAAAGGAAGAACAATGTTGATCTAAATGAATTGATCAAGATGTACGTTTTATTTTCAATTCTGTACGGATACCTCCTAAGGCCACAGTCTGATTTTTTAAATCTTTTATTAGGAAATGCTTTCGTCAGATTAGAGGTTAACTATCACCCAACTATAGATACTTTTCTACAAAGACAAAGAAGGCAATGTCTCCTATAATTGTGACTTAACTGAAACACTATCCCCCATTTAAGCATACCTATCAATAATCACCCTAATGTGACTTACGTATACCTTACCTTTTCCAAATCTTGTTACCTATAGCCTATTACCTATAGCTTAATTAGGAATGGTATTCGACACTAGAGGTTATTAGGTAATCATACAGAATATATCCGAAGATAATTGAACATATGACGCACATATAAGATAAGATGTAAGATAAGATAAGATAAGAAAAGAAATTCATTTATTATAGTAACATGTGTAGAATCAATGATGTGATACATGTGAATTCAGAGTAACTGTATTAACATCCAGTCAAATGGACCTACAAGGCACCAAGTCACCTTATATTGGCAAATATTAAAGAGTCTTCATTAGTTTATGACAAAACCAACATAATGGGTTTGCGACCAGCATGGATCCAGACCAGCCTGCGCCTCCGTGCAGTCTGATCAGGATCCATGCTGTTCGCTTACCAAATCTATTACAAGTAGAGAAACTGATAGCGAGCAGCATGGATCCTGATCAGACTGCGCGGATGCACAGGCCGGTCTGGATCCATGCTGGTCGCAAACCCATTATGCTGGTTTTGTCATGGCGCGGCTCAAATAGTTTGCATTATTACTGTGCAAATGGAATTATAGTAATTGTAAATTTATATTATATTATTCTATACTAGTTTATATCTTGAGCAATAAATTCAGATCAATTCTGTTCTTCCTTTCTCGCAATACTAGGCAATTTGATTACTATAAATATGGTATTAAATTGGCATTATACTGCATTTTAATTTGCGTTTTTACGACTTAAGGTTCGCGTTACTACGCCTTTTTTTCGCGTTATTACGCCTTTTGATTTGCGTTATTACGCTTTATTACGCTTTATGTTTTATGTTTCGCGTTATAATGCAAATAAAGGCGTTATTACGCCTTTTGATTCGCGTTATAACGCCTTAAGTGCGTTATTACGCCTTTTGATTTGCGATATAACGCCTTTATTCGCGTTATTACGCCTTTTGATTCGGGTTATAACGCCTTTATTTGCGTTATTACGCCTTTTGATTCGCGTTATAACGCCTTTATTTGCGTTATTACGCCTTTTGATTCGCGTTATAACGCCTTGATTTGCTTTATTTCGCCTTTTGATTCGCGTTATAACGCCTTTTTTTCCGCGTCATTACGCCTTTTGATTCGCGTAATAACGCCTCTATTCGCATTATAACGCCTTTGCATTTTTATTTTTATTTCATTTGACACTATTAGGCGTTCGTATATTTCCTTATTACATGATCATAATAACTGATATTCGCTTATGAAATATTTGTACTTGTCAATTTATTAATTGATCACGTATATCTTTAAGTTTCTAAATAAGCACAATTTTAACAATGCTGGTACTAAAATAGATATAGATTTAACAAAAAGCTTTTAATAGAATTATTGGCAAACTTTGTGTTTTTAATTGACTGAATATTAAAAAAGCACATGCTAGGACATATAATTACCCTTCTGAGTCATTCGTTGGGTTCCCAATTTATTGCACCAGCGCTAATAAGTTATGAGGTTTTAACGTACATATAGTCAAATATGATGTATTTCCTGCCCATGAAGATGATATAATACTGTGTTCGTAGAAGTTTGAATTCGAAAATGTGCTATAGGTGGTGGAAGGATTTCTATTTCCTTCTTTTTAATAAAATACTCTATGGAGATGTAAACTTCTTGTTTGTTTAAATTTTCCAAATTTGATCTCATTAATGTTCCTAAATCACCGCCGTAGGGACACGTGTGTGAATTGGTTATACGTTTTTAATGACGTAATTTTCTTACTTAAATGCTTAAAACAGTGATAAGGCATTAGACATATCACTGCTCTCTGTGAATAGGGTTAAGCAAACAAAATCCAAATCCTTTTTCAACTTCTTTTATCCTTTTTCAACTGTTCTGTGTTTGGCAGCCTATTTGGCTAATTAACAAAAGAAAATTGTAAAAATAACCCTAAAACGCTATCACATAAAAAGTTCCCGAAACTTCGTCTATTCAATTCATCAAAAAGAACAAAGTCACCAGCTTATTTTATAAATTATTTACTGCAAACATTGTTTATTTATATGATATATTAATAAAGGTCATGCTATTTCAGCTTTGTAATATAGGATCATATGCCTAGCAATTCAATTGACAAAGATTATCATATAGGTACAAAATAAATGATATGAATTTATTATTGATGATATATAGAATTGGAATGTTCGGGGTAGTTGTTGGGCTTTACGTTACACCAACATTGTAAAGGCCATATGGCAACTTTCCAACTTTACTTGTGAAGGATGACCTAAAATGCCCCTCAGTGCATTTTTTAGAGAAGAAGTATAACCACCGACGTTCCGTATTGTGGCGGGATATCTTTCTCATATGAAAGAATACAAAGTTTCTGCTGGGATTCAGGTCCAAAGCGGTGAGGTGCAGGCGGTTTGATGTTAACAACCTTGACCACTTTGTCTCGGACGCCACGCCTTCCCTTATTTGAGTGTAAACTTATTCTTTTGGATACATTGTCTCAGTGTATTTAGAAAATCTATAAGGTTTTATTTATACGCGAAAGTACCTAAGTAATTAAAAATAAGCAGTTGAATTCGTGAGATGCCTTGTTTAATGAACTTCTAAATCCCATAGGGAGATAACATCTAATACAGGCGCGGCTGTATGTAACAACTTATCTGACTTGTCTGCAAATAACAGTCAGCCAGAAATGCGTTAGGTTTATCAATTGCTTACACAACCATTCCTATAATAGATAATGATTCAAGGAAAAGTTTACCATGAAAGAATATTAACATTTTCTTCAATGGATGATACAAAAACAAAGAATACTACAAACAACTTGACTATATTCATGTTTAATCAACAAATAATATTGAGAAAAAACAGAATCTCTAAAGAAAGTCAAACACGGCAAAATTGAAAATGTTGCAGGCTCTGTTTGATTGAGCCTGTTCATGGATGGTACTGAAAAGTGTAGGTTACCGTCCACGCCCCCTAGCACCAGCTTAAGCAGAATTCAAAATTTAAACACGAAAATGGTGACATTGTGAATTTGGAGACATCTACAGATGTGTTTATACGGCGGTTATCATAGAACCTCCAATGTCACACAGTAGTGACATTCCATGAAAAGCGGCGTTTGTTCCCCAGTGTGCCCTAAACGAGAACACAATGGACGTAACTGTAGCAAATGGACTTTGAAAGGGGATCTGAGGTTATGAAGCCTGCATATCACATAATATGTTCATGAAGATTCCATATACGTCCCGAGATATATTATGAAATATTATGTAATGATTTTATCATCAGTTGCCAGTTAGAATCAAACTTAAATGTGGTGTTGGATGTCATTTTAAAAACCTGTTTTCATATTGCATGAATACTAAAATGATCCCTCCCATTTCTTGTTAGGATTCGGATGGGAAAAGGCCACATAAATCTTTTCGTTTTCCTTCAGCTTATATGCCACGTTGATTGACTGTTCTCTTTGTTCATCAGGTATTGGACACACGGAATGGACATTCTCAAAAATAATTAGCTTACTCTTTCATAGCAACATAAATAACCTGCAGTTTCACAAGTTTGTCAACATTGTCAGAAAAACTTTTGACATTCATCCCGATTGTAAGTTGTACATTAATAAAATAAAAGTATTGACCGGATTTCTTGATTGAAATCTACTTCGTCTAGATATTGTACATCGCTGCCGAACTTTGAATTTAGAAACATCCGCAGATGTGTTCATACATGTGACACAGTAGTGCCATTCCATGATAATGGGTGTTTTGTCCCCAAGTAAAAGAATGCGTGTGCCCTTAACGAGAAAACAATGGGTGTAAATAAAGAAAATATAAATTTAAAAACAGGCGACATATCCTTGGCAATGCTAAATGAATAGAAGAACATGTATCAATGATTTCTACAAAGTTACTAAACACAATCAAACTAAGTATAACAGTCAACAATAAAATAAAAACAAATATCATGTAATGATTAAATAACCAGTTATAAGTTAGAATCAAACTTTACAACCCATTAAAATGGGCATAATGTAAGCTGCCATTTAAGTTGTCAATCTATTGACAGATTTCTAAACACTGCTTTCATAGTGCATGAATACTTAAATGATCCCTCCCATTTCCTGATGAGAGTAAATTCGGATGGGAAAAGGCCACATAAATCTTTTCATTTTCTTTGAGCTGAAAGGCTGTACCAACGTTGGGAACGTTCATTTTGTTCATCAGGTATTTGACACAAGGAATGAACATTCTCAACAATAATGAGCTCACTTCTTTGTTTCACATGAATAACCTGAAGTCTCACAAGTTTGTCAACATTGTCAGAAAAACTTCCGACATTCATTCTGATTGTAAGCTGCACATTAATGAAGTATTGTCCGAATTTCTTGATAGAAATCGCTCCCTCTTCGTCAAGGTATTGTACATCGCTACCGAACCTCATATCTGACTTCCAGAATATCTTTGAGCTTTCACCTGGAATAGTAATAAATTTATGCATGATGAATTGAGAAATACAAGGTTTTTTCATCCAATGCATAGAAGTGTTTGCAGACGGTGATTGTCTTTATATACTCCATCCTCTGTTACTTAGGCTTTTTCATCATCGGTATTAAAATCAAATATGATGTACTATAAACGAACGGCGATGTGTAAATTCGTATACCACTTCTGAAAGTTTATGAACTATATTTATTTGAATCAAATAATACAATTGTTTAGTAGTTTTTATTTCTAACTCGATACATAGGCCATAGAAATATTATTTCGCTTGTATTTATGGTTGATTATCATATATTTTCGTGTACAGATTTGATTATTTAAGCTAATATATTTTACTGCTTTTAAGAATATGTCAAACCTAGTTAATTTTATACTGATAGATGCCAAACATGTAAAACAGATTTTACCTGACTTTATACCCGCTCCTTTGAACTTCAGCCGTATTTTTGATATGTTTCTTTCCTCAATTTCACAATTGAACATGGTTAGATTTGATAAGTTATGTTCTGAAATAAAATTATAATAATAATCATAATAATTATAATGATGATGATGTTGATAATAATAATAATAATAATAATAATAATAATTGCTAGCGGGTTACCATATGCCCATTTACAATGATGCAAAACGATTGCAAAACTCATATTGGCTTAAATATTTTAACATCGCAACTTGACAAAAATGTAAAGTTCAATGACAGAAAACTAAAGGTTACAGAAATAATGGTATAACGTTGACTGTGTGCAATGTATGTTGTTATAACCGACATGTTGTCAGGCTGACTGAGTATCATCTCATTGTGATAGAAAAATAACATTCACAATTGAATGGAATATGATAAACTTAATAAACTATTAGATCTCAGAGTTACTTTACGAAAGCATTACTATTTTTGTCTATTATATAAAGGATATTCAAGTGTTTTTTTATATAAATACGAGATTTATTTTCATTAAGTGCAAGAAAATAAATATTTTCTGAGTGGCGGTAGCCAAAGATGAAAATAAATCTTGTATTCATAGAAAAAACTGGAATTTTCTGTATATTATTTTTCTTTTTTTAACTTTACAATTTTAAATTTTGTGTATTAGGTGAAATTAGTTCAACACCAGTGAAAATATGGAAAATGAAAATATGCATTTTATTTCATCAATATTTCATTTATAAGTATGTAATAAAAGTTATATACCAGGGGTTGCATCTCTGTTGTATCTTGCTTCAGTCATCTACAAAACGTCAGTATTTAAAGTAGATAGAAAACATATTATAAGACATGTTATAACTTGATTTACTTAATAATTCAGATTTATTACTTTAACTATTTTCAAAGCTAGAAAATATAGGAAGATTTGAAGTGATAATGTCATGATATAGTTATGCTCTCTTAAAAAAAATTCAATTTAACATTTAAGAAACAAATTAAATGATATAAAAAAGAAAACGAAAAGCAAAACGAAACAAATAAAACAAAAGAACAGTAAAACTGGTATACGCTGATTACCTTTGACACGATAGCATCTATCGCCCTACTAGCTTCAACGCAACATGTCCCGTCAATTACAGTCCCCCCTTTCTAGGGTTTGAGATGTTCAACCCATTCAGGTTTTCCTTTTACATTGTCAATGTTCTCGGTGTCGAAACAAAACATTGTTTCTGTCTGTCGTGTCAGGAACCGTTCCACTACTAAAGGTATCAGTACAAGTCCTAGGCATGCTGCTAACACAACCAGTATGGCTAATAACCTTTTCTTTACCTTAATTGAAGGTGTCAGCATCGTATCATAATGGGTAGTATTACCATCATTATTAACAAAATAAGAGGTTACAACCTAAAAAATATCATTCAAAACACTTAAAAAATAAAGAATTCTTTTGATGTTAATCTGATTTGATATTTTGTAAAATAATAGGTGTGTATTCTGTGTTCAACTTTAACTGATATCGTATACAAACATGCCTATTAATGTAATTAAAAACATAATAAGAAGTTGTTTGTAGTAACAAAATGAAATAAACACTACAGTTACTGTTATTCAAATATCACATTGCATCTAAATAACCATGAAAATGGTTTATGAAATTATTTTTTAATATTTGTGCGTAAATGTATCAATGACCTAGCCGAGTACATCTGGCATTAAAACAAATGTACCCTTTTGTTAAAGCAAAAATATGTCGGATCAAATCTTCTAAGTATTCTAAACGTTAAAACAATAAACTAATGCAGAACAAACTTTCACCCTTAAACAAATTTTATACTAAACATTGTTTATGTTCTAACTAATGAAAAAAATATCGTTTTATATATAAGCAGTCTAACTGAATACCGATTAACACGATTCTAAAATGTGCATTTAACCCATGCATATACAGCTCTTGAAACATCATATTATTTCCCAGTTTTTTCCACATGTCATTGCATGAGAAGAACATTTCTTAAATAATAGACATGATAGAGAGTAAATTGAATACATGGTTAAAATAAACCTGCAATAATTTGTTGTTGGTAATATGTCTGATTTGAATAACTTTTATTTCAATAGTAATGAACATTTATGTTTAACTTAAAAAACGTAAAATAATTTACCTTTAAGTTAAGGTCCATAACAAACGTTATCATATTATTCAAACCGTTTTACGATAATAGTACTAGTCTTTACATTAACCTAATTTTAAAACTGATTTAATTTTAAAACTACATGTGTTTACATATAAAGGTATGATATCACAACGTACTTTCAGAATTGACTAATTTGAAAAACCCAATATTATTTTATTATAATAAACAATTCAGTCACAAAGGGAGTTTTACTATTTATAATTATTCACCTTAATATTGTTATTAGCCTGGCGTGATTATATGTGTGCCATAGACGAGAAAATAGATGTACGGAACTTAACAAATTAAATTAAATGATAGAAAAAATATAGAAATCACCGACGATAAAACACAGAAAAAAAACCCAATGGTGTTTACAGTATTAAGGGAGGATATACTTAACTGAAACACAAAACGAGTAAAAGATGATATTTGCAAGTCTACAGCATTAAAGGTGTAACCCCGACACTCCCCCAAAGAAAAACAAACAACAAACATTATTTAGTATCTTTCAGAACAATTTTATGTATAGGATATCGACCGAGTACGAGGTCTTTCTGTTTATGAAATTCGTGACCAGGTCTTTCCTAAACAGAAAGATCGATGTACGAGGCCGATATCCAACTTACACACCGTAAAACTATATTGGCTTGAGCAATCATTTGATGTAATGCACGAATATTATTATTAACACAGCGCATATACAGGTAACCTTTTATTAATGTTCTGCTTAAATACATTACATATTTGCTTTTCCCTTTAAAATAATAATGAAAAAAAGCTAAATGTGCAATATGCCAACGAAAAAGTGAATAGGACTGTAATGGAAGGTATGTTAAAGAATCATAATTATGTTGATATCATTTCGCATCAGACATCGCGGAATCTAGGACATTTTGCCCCCCGGACAGTTTGCCCCCCCCCCCCTCGCAACGTTTGCCTCTTTTATTTTTGCTGTTGCGACTTGTCACTTGTCAGAGGTCAATCTCGTGTATAGATTTTTTTTGTATGTCAATGGAAATATTAAAGTTCTTTTTTTTTTTTTTTTTTTTTTTTGATGCTAGTTTTTTTTTTGTTTTTTTTTTACAAATTTGCGCGAGATTTTTTTGTGTATTTTTAAAGCAGCACGGGGCTTTTTTATGAAATTTTGGAAATGTATTTCAAAAGTAAAAAATTGTAAGGTGAACAAATTAAGTAATTTACATATTGCAAATCGGGCACTTACAATCCAAGAAAATAACCAAAAAAGTCTCGTCAAAAACATATGCAAAAGTAGCCCTTACTGCGTTACTACTAAGTAGAAATATGGTAATAAAAATACTGCAAAATCATTCGTAAACCGCCACATTACATGAAAAATATAACTTGGACCTTGAATTGTTTTTACCTTTCTTAAAAATTGTATTACTTTTTTCTCAATACTGATTTTCTTGAAATATTTAGGCTTATCTGGAGGCGTGTAGCTTTAAGGCGATGAATTTTGGTAGCAAACAATTCAACAATTAAATATTTTAACGTTTTTAAAACAGGGAGGGGGAGGGGAATGTCCGTCACTTCCAAAGATATGAGGGGGGCAAATGACAGCCACTGCAAAGAGGGGGACCATTCCGATGTGGCAACTGTCCGAAGGGTAATGTCCGAATATCCAGCAGACCACGAAAGACTAACATATGTATATTGTTGGCAAGTGTGAGATACATGAACCGAACTATATTTTATATAGCAGATTATATAGTCTTCTAGAATAAAATATGATTGTTCATCATAACATTTTTAATACTAAAACCACTAATTACTTTATTTGACATTTCTTTTTCATGACTTTTTTAATGATATCCGAATAATACATTTCTATCGTTTCTATCGATATTTGAAAAATAATAGAAGATGTGCCCATTGTAGACTAATCCACATTAAGTTACTTGTACATGCATGCCACTATAAGCAAGGTTTGGATTCTATCAATACAAATTTTCTTTAACCTTGTTGTGTAGCATTCTTTGAAACTAAGCCCTGGCTTTGAAAGTTTTCAAGAGATGTGTGAAGTTGGCCGCTGGGCCACTGGACCGCCAACTTCACACATCTAGTTTTCAGGGGGAAATCAGTAATGATTTTTCTCCGGTTTAATAGAAAAACAGGATAAAGCCTAACTCAAAGAAAGAGGGCGGGGTTAACGGGGATTAAACAATCTGATTGATCCCGCGGGTGAGAATGCTACCAGAGACTTTTCTTTTAACTGTGGGTAGCTGCGGTTCCAAATGTAAAGCGTATATGAAATGTTCTGAAAAGTTGTGAAATGGACATATTTTTTGGTATATTTTTTCGATATGATTTTTTGGTACAATTTTATGTACTGTGAATTTTCTAGAACGTTAAAATTGTTATGGATTAGGTGATTTAAAATCGTAATAAGTATGCTTTGAATTACTGCTATAGTTTCATATGAATGAACTTGAAGCGTCCATTTTTTTATATTGTGAACTTAATGACCGAAAAACCAGTTAGATACGCGATTCAATAAATGTCAAATGTGTCCTAACTTTGATATGCTATCCATTATTTTTATTCAAAGATTTGATATAGGGATACTGGAATAATTGCTTAGTGCATTCAATAAACATCATCATGTTTAAAAAATGTATCCCGAATTTGTAAGACAGAAACATTATGATAATCATTTACATCTGAATTCATTTTTTTATTGCGTTTATGTTTTCTTTGTCTACGCATAGGCAGGTCTATTTTTTCACGTGTTTTTCATGACCGGGTCTGTCTAACTAGAACAGACCTGTGCACGTGCAAAAGATAGACCTCATAACGGACTTTCTTTTGTTTAATCAGGTCTATCCGAAAAATATAGACCTGTCACAAACAATAGAGGAGGTGTGTAAAGTATATTTAATTAAGTGGTTCCAAACCTCTCATTTTTTATTTTGAAATTAAAGCAACATTCATGTTCTATTTATAAAGAATATCTAAAGTTCTTATTGGTTAAATGGACATGTATCGTATTATTTTTTTTACATTCGTGTGCATTTTATAATACCCTCTGTTATGATTATTTAATAGGAGTGCAAATGTAATTCTAAAACTGATGCCTTTAAACTAAATGTGCACTTTTTTTAGATTTCTTTGTTGGTCACTATCATGGGTTTAACTCTTACGATTAAACGTCGTTAGTAATTCGTACGCACGAGAAACCAAAAAACCCTCTATATTAAAAGTAGCAACTTTCGAAGAACTATTGTTTCAAAGTTGTTCTTTTAAAGCATCCGAATTATTATTGTTAATCGTGTACACTCAATAATTGTATACTTGAAATGTGAAAAAATGACAAAATCTCCAATGGATACGTCAGAGCATCTTAATAATGAGTTCATTAATGATATTTACTTGATATTATTATGTTAATTCTAACACATAACACCGCTTTACCAGACATTAGGTTCACAGTATTTACATACGTAATAGTTTTTTTTTGCAGAAAGAAAATACATTTATTTTTTCTAGTTGCTTTATTTACAGTGCTGACTTACCATTTCCTTCCTAGTTTACATTAAAAACATTGCTGCCGTTATCTATTGCAGTGAAGTAGTTGTATGCAAAGTCATGATCATAGCTACTTTCTGTAATTTTTTTCATTTCGTCCGGGTAGGTTTTTTAGCCTATTTGTTTTAAATGTTTATATCTTGTTTTGTTTTCATTCTGTCAGATTATCTTTTACTGTCAATATTTAATCTAGGGTATTACAATTATAGTAGTTTACAACTTGTTTGGTAGCACATACTTAGACTATTCCACGTCTTATTTCAGTATCGCGATCTTTTTTTTTTTAAATATTGAACTTTTTTTTTATTTTGACATTTCGAAATTTGTGAAGTTAGCAGCCAAGCAGCCTAGCAGCCTTAAGAAAACTAAAGATAATACAAATATGAAAATCGTCGGAAATTAGTCGGTAGCACATACTTAGACCATTCCACGTCCTATTTCAATATCGCGATCTTTATTTTTTTTAAATATTGAACTTTGTTTTTTATTTTTATTTTGACGCTTCTAGGCTGTCAAAAAAAAGAGTTTAATATTAAAAAAAAATAAAAATCGCGATACTGAAATAAGACGTGGAATAGTCTTAGTAGGTGCTACCGATTCAACGGTTTTCATGTTTGCATTATCCTTAGTTTTCTTTAGGCTGTTAGGCTGTCAGGCTGCTAGGCTGTTAGGTTGCCAGGCTGTTAGGCTGCCAACTTCAGGCTGCTAGGCTGAGCTAGACTGCCAACTTCACGAACATAAAGAACTGCCTGTATCCCTGATACATGTATTTGCATGTACTTAAATTAATAAGTCATGCTACGGAAAGTTTATGTTTAATTCAATCTTATTACAACCAATTGCATTTTCATTGTTTTACACATCCTGGATTTGAACCCATTGACCCCAATTTAAACATAATTTTCCGAGCGCTTGTACTGTCATGGCTGTCGCGGCAACTCAATCAATTATTTTAAATAATATACAGTTCTGTTAAGGCACAAGACCTGAGAAGAAAACTTTCAGTATTTAAATTTTGTTTACCTTACTTATAATTAGTCAGGAACTTAGTTTCAAAGCCTTCTTTATGAACATTTCCAAAACTCTTAAATACTAGATTTTTCCCCGTTTTTTGTCATCTGAAGGTCAGCGCCCCATCTATAAGGTAGCTTTTAATTTTTGAAAACTTTCACAGGTTTCGTAAAATGCTTTCATAAGTTTTTCCCCCCCCCCCCCCCCCCCCCCCCCCCCCCCCCCCCCCCGAAAACTGGGAAAAGCCCCAACATGCTTTCTATGACGACTGACCCAAAAGTCAATTAGGGTAATATACTTCCGAGGGCTTTCTTACTAACTAAATATAAAGAGAGTAAAAACCAAGGAAATATCAAGCGCCATACTATATTTACGAATGAAAATATCGTTATTACGGAAAAATATTTTGTTTTTACAATAAAATATTTCATCTTTACGAAATTATATTTCCATTTTTCGAATTATTAGTTTTTCGTAAATTCGAAATAATATTTCGCAAATAACAATTAGTAAAAACGAATTAATATTTCGTTTTTACGAATTAATATTTGGTTGAAACAAAACAATATTTTATAATTACGAAATAATAAAAGTCCCGAAAAATATGTAAAATTGTCACCTTAGGGGCTCTTCGTTTGTATGCTTCAATTCTTGATATTGCATGTTTTAGATATCATATTGTTCATATTACAATATAGCTGTGATCAATCAAACTGATATAAGCTTGTCTATAATGATGAGCTAATTGTCTATAAATATTTGTACTTGTCCATTTATCGATAATCAAGTATATCTCTTGGTGGCTAAATTTGCACAATTATTACAGTACTTTTGCTAAAATAGATATTCATTAAACAAATACCTCTTTATAGTGTTATTGCAAAACTAATTAAATGTTTAATAAAAAAAATAATAAAGGAATAAATAAAAAAGCATATGGAGTAACATCTTTGTAAGTCAAAGACAGAACTTAACACTGCTGATCGATCTGTTGGGTTCCAAATTCATCTAATATATATAATGGTCACTCGGGTTTTAAACATACATTAAAACCAATATGTGTTATCTTATCTTCAGTATACATAAATTATGTGTTTTGGGGGGACTTTGAATTAAAAGTTTAGGTTTAAGCTTTCTATTAAACAATTTTAAATCATTCTAAGGAGTGAAAATTCGAGTTTTTTTATTTGCCAAAGTTTTTTAATAATATTTTTATAAAAAATTATTAACACATTAAAGTTCAAAATCATCCCCGAAGGGAAATTTTTAAATTGGTTATAACTTTTTCCAATACAAAATTTTTTTTATTAAAAGCTTAAAAATGTTTTAGGATATAGTTTGATTTAATGCACGTCATAACAGGCTTAACATCAATTATTTTTGGGACAGCCTATTAACCTAAATAGTGTTGGATTTTTCAGACCCAAAAGGTTTTTTCAAAAAAGTAAATGAGATACATATGTAAATAATAACCCAAAAATATTCTTTTATAAAACACTCGAAATTCGTCTTTGTTTCATTCATCTCAATTGGCAATTTGTCAATCAGAAATCACCCGCTATTCTATATACATGTAACTGCAAACATAGAGTATGATATATAAATATAAGTACTTTAGCTTTGTAGCCAATGCCCTTGATATAGGATCATTTGCCAAACAATTCCAATGACATGGATTATTATATAGAAACAAATGATATGCATTTATTATTGATGATAAAAATAAAATTGGAATACTCGGGGATTTTGTTGGGTTTTACGTAGCACCAACACTGTCAAGGTCATATGGCGACTTTCCAGTTTTTTCGGTATAGATTGACCTATGGTGCACCTCCGTGCAAAAGTAGAACCATGTACGTTCCGTAAACTGGTGGGATAGCTTCCTCTTGAAATAATACAAAATTTCTGTTGAAGAATTTACATGCATAGGGGCAGGTTGTGACAGTCAATACTTTACCATCTCCGTCAGGACCAAACTTTTCTTTTTTTGAGCCGATTGTTATTTCAATAATTTTGTTGGAGTCTGCGAAGATATAGAAAGGGGTAATGAGTGTCCCTGGTACGCCCAACCTCCGATACAGGTTGAAAAAATAATATCCCTTATCCGCTATACCAGTCTCAATCTTCTTTGAATATCAAAAAATACTATACTATACTTTGGCACATGTAAAATTGAAAATTAGTCTTTTATTATTTAATTTCCATCTTGCTCAGCAATACCAAATGAAAGAATAAAACATCCGCTCGGATGTATTAGTTATAACAATTCACTTATATTACTTTTTGATATAAACAAAACAATGATCTATATCCTTTAGAAACATCATCAGAGAGATGATATTCAAGAAATACATTTTTGTCCCGTTGAAAGATTACTGGAAGCAAATGAAACGGATATTACAAATTTATGAATCAAATAGCATGACTAGCATGTCACAAATATGTTATTATTAATCACTTTCGAGTCCGCTTCCTGGAACCAACCGGTACTGGTGTCATACATGTATGAAAAACATGATCTTGACCCAAGAAGTTTGACAAACAGACACCTTAAACATTTAGCACTACTCTCCATTTTGTCGTCACAGCTTTGCATTTGTTGTGGTGTTAAATTTCTGTAACTGTTCCTAAAAAAGAATGAGGGTTATTTAATTTTTTGTTATGTAATGTTTTTTTTTCATAGTTTGCTAAGTGGTTAAAATGATTATATAATGGAGGAAAGATCTAATGCCAGGATGCCACCACGCTTTGAATGCAAAGGGGAATAAAACGCAATATGAAATTTAACGATGCTTTTTTACTAAATAAACTTCTTAACAACTACATATAACTGTCACTGTAAAAAACAACTTATTTCATTTGTCTGCAAATTACAGCCAACCAGAATTTAAAAATGCTTTAGGATTTTCATTTATTTGTATAACTACTCTAATAGATAGATAATGATTCAGGTAAATGTGTATATTAAATTATTATAACATTTTTCTACAAAGTAAGGAAAAAATCAAAATACTACTTTGAAACTTAACATATCTATAAACATATATAAATTCAAAATCAATGACTTGTTTCAAGTGTACTGGTAAAGAACCCCTTCTTATCTTTGTATATAACACAAAAAAAATCTTAGGCCAAAATAATGACGTAAAAAACATTATAAAAATATAAGTTTTACAAAAACTCAATAAATCAAACTTAGTAAAATAGTCAACAAGTTGAGAATGAAATGTCCATAAAACAATACATAATCAATGTCACTAAGTTTCAACATAAACATAATTCTAAGTTAAAATTTAAGGCCTTATGTCTTAGTAACGATATTCTTGAAGATTCAATATGATATACTTCCTGAGAAATATTATGAATTATTATGTAATAATTTGATAAAAAAGTGTAAGCTAGAATCCAACAAAACAGCCCTCCTCTAAAAAACGGGTAATAACTCTAGCTGCCATTTAAGATGTCAAAAAAATTTGACAGAGTTTAAACCGCCTTCGTGGTCGAGGGGTTAGAGTCGATGTCTTCTAATCCAGTTACCTCTCTGGTTGGGTTCGATCCCCGGGAGATGCTTTGGTAGTTTAGCGCGGAGAGGAAGGTAGTCTTGTACTGGTGTAACTCTCCAGGAACGAAGGTTAGGAAGCTACCCGCCTATATGACTGAAATACTGTAGGGAAAAAGGCGTAAAATGAAACAAACAAAAGACAGATTTTAAAATATTGCATTCATATGGCATGAATACTAAAATGATCCCTCCCATTTCCCGTTGAAAGTAAATTTGGATGTGAAAAGGCCACATAAAACTTGTCATTTTCCTTCAGCTGAAATGCTGCACCAACGTTGATTGACTGTTCACTTTGTTCATCAGGTATTTGACACACGGCATGAACATTCTCAACAATAATGACCTCACTTCTTTGTTTCACCTGAATAACTTGAAGTTTCACAAGTTTGTTCACATCGTCTGAAAAGCTTCCGACATTCATTCTGATTGTAAGTTGTACATTAATAAAATATTGACCGGATTTCTTGATAGAAATCGCTCCTTCTTCGACTATATACTGTACATCGCTGCCGAACCTTATATCCGACTTCCAGAATATCTTTGAGCTTTCACCTGGAATAGTAAAAAAATATATCTTTGATGATGTGAGAAATACAATGTTTGTTTCCTGTTTAAAATTTAAAGCAGCCTTTAGTTTTTCTAAAGGTTAACAATTATGTTAGTTTTAGATAATTATTGTTAAATCGAAAGAATTAGGGTTGGAAGTGAAATTTGCAGACAAAAATACATAAACAATAAGGAAACTTCTCGATACCTCTATTCTCCTGCTCCGCTCTCTATATTTAAATTACATTAGCGGACAATTCGTTTCCTTATCTATTTTTTGGAACGAACGTCACTTGCGCGTTATAAATAACCCCAGGGATGCTGTTTTTGAAGAAGGCTTAACAGCGATATGATGCACTTTTCCAAGATAAAATTACTATACTACTTTTTGAAACAACATAGAATTGTTTTTCTTACAGAAAATAAAATAAAAAGTTAAGGTCACTTTAATCATACTATTTATACAACTGTTTGCAGACGATGATTGTCGTGTGCATTTTTTATCGTCTTTTACCAAAGCTATTTTTCATCATCAGTATTAAAATCAAATTTAATGTAGTACAAGTATTAGCATTTCCAAAAATGCTTAGAATCGCTGTTCAGCCATGAAAATAGAAATGTTTCATTTCTTGCCAAATACCTTTATTGTGTGTGGTCAGCACATAAAGCCAACAAATGTACTTGATTACTCAGTTAGATTCTGACATATTTGTTTTTGTTCTGTGTCAGAATGTTGGAGATATTGCCCATAAGACAAATATCGCAATAACTAAACGCGTAGAACAATTAGTTAGACTACATGCACTACTTAATCAGTGCATCAATCGGCAAGAATAATAAGCTTCTTGTGTAATTAACAACAGTTACTTGCTTAACATTTAAAATGATGTCTGTAAACATTCTATAAATGGAATTTATGTTCTGCTTTGCAATTTTTTTTATGAAACGGACAATAACTGACATGCTACATTATAGGCATGTTCATGGTATTAAACTCGCTCGGACAAAAAACTTCTTTGAAGTTTGTTTTCTTTAAGTGCCAGATTTTGAAAGAAAACAAAATATACTGTTATTAAGACTACATTCTCTTATCAGAAATGGCATGTAGCAAAACATATTGCAATTGGCTGTGTTTATCCTGCAAGAGACTAAAGACTGGTACTGAGTTCGTACATTGATAATGATATTTTTCAGTTGTACGAATAAGTAACCCGACAAAACAAATGTGTACCATTGGTTCCGACAATATGTAATATTGTAAACTTTTTTATACGGCTTCTGTTAATTAATAAACTATATCAAATGTTATTTTAATCAAAACATGCAGTTATGTAGTAGCTTTTATTTCTTATTTGTTATATATAGGTCATAGAAAGCTTATTTGGTATGTGTTAAAGATTGGTTATTATATATATTCGCGTACAGCTGGATTTATATAAACTTATAACTTTTACTTAGCTAACAAATATGTCAAAATCTTGATATACTGATAATTCAGACGTGGAAATATTAAATATGTAAACAGTTTTACCTGACTTTAATCTTGCTCCTTTGAACTTAAGCTGTATTTTTGATATGTTTCTTTCCTCAATTTCACAGTTGAACATGGTTAGATTTGATAAGTTATGTTCTGAAACAATAATAATAATAATAATAATAATAATAATTATAAAAATGATAACAAAATAATAATAATAATAATAATGATAATAATAATTATAAAAATGATCATGATAATATTTACCAGCGGGTATGACCTATATCATTTGCACATTTAAAACGATACACAAATCAAATTAACTAATATTTTAACATAGCAACTTGACAAAAATGTAAAGTTCAATGAAAGAAAACTAAAGGCTACAAAAATAGTGAATTGAGTATCATCTTAGTGTGAGAAAATTAACATTCACAAATAATTGCCATATGATGATAAACTAAATACTAAATAAACTATTTAATCTCAGAGTTCCAAAAAAGGCATTACTATTTTTTCATATATATAGAGGATATTCAATTTTTTTTTAATGAATAAGGGAACCTTTTTTCATTGAGTGGTAAGAAAATAAATATTTCATGAGTAACAGTAACCACGTGTGTAATATAATAATTTTTATACCACAAGATGAAAATAAGTCCTGTACTTATAGAAAAAACTTGAATTTTCTGTTTATTTTTTTCTTCTCTTTTTCAACATTACAATTTGAAAGTCTTCCCCTTAATTGTTGTGTATTAGCTTCATTTTGAACGAAGAAGTCCGCCACAACACAAGTAAAAATACGGAAAATGAAAATAATGCATTTAATTTATAAGTAATAGATTTCAATATTTCATTTATAAGTATAGATAAAATGTAATATACCAGGGTTTGCATCTTTGTCATATCTTGCTTGAGTCATCTACAAAATTTCAGTAATTAAAGTTGATAGATAACGTTTACTAGATTCAAGACATGTTCATAACTTGATAGTGCTAAAAAAATAATTCAGATTTATTACTTAAACTATTTGTAAAAGCTAGAAAATATATAGAAAGATACAAAGTGATAATGTTACGGTATAGTAATGCTCTTTCGGAAAAGTTCAACTTATTACTATAGAACAAATTGAATGATATAAAAAGACAATGAAAAAGAAAAGCAAATAGAAACAAATAAAAGAAACGAACAGTAAAATCGTTATAAGCTGATTACCTTTGACGCAATAGCATCTATCGCCTTACTAGCTTCAACGCAATATGACCCGTCAATTACAGTCTCCCCTTTCTTGGATTTGAGATGTTCAACCCATTCAGGATTTCCTTTTACAATATTCTCGTTATTGAAACAAAACCTTGTTTCGGTATGTCGTGGCAGGAACCGTTTCACTACTAAAGGTACCAGGACAAGTTCAAGGCATGCTGCTAACACAACCAGTCTGACAAATAACCTTTTCTTTACCTGAAATAAAGACGCAAGAATCGTATCATCATGGGCAGTCTTATCATCATCAGTATTAACAGAGTTAGAGGTTAAAAGGTGAATAAATAACCTTCAAAATACTTAGAAAAATAAAATAATACTTTTTTGCTTTGAATCAGATTTGATATCTTATTGTATAAAATATGCATATTTTGTGTCAACTGTAACTGATATCGTAAATAAACATGCCTATTAACCTAATAAAAACATTATAAGAAGTAGTTTATTGAAAAAAAAAAAAACACTACAGTTACTGATTTTCAAATTACAAATTTCATCTCAATAATCAACAAAGCAGCACGCCTCCAGATTCGCTAATTTTCATGAAAATTTTGAAAATGTTTTTGAATGTATAATATTGTGAAATAACGAAAAGGAAACAATTGACACATTATCAATGGCACTTACAACCCACGTAAAACAAAATAAAAACAAAACAACAATTATTATTTAGAGTCTTTCGAACAATTAAATAGTATATTTAATTAAGTGGTATTTATATACTTAAAGAAAATTTACTTACATTCATGTTCATTTTTAATTAACCCTTGTTATGATTATTTAATACAAATGTTATTCTAAACCGATGATCGAAAACACTTAAATTCTAATTGCTTTATTTATAGTACTGACATAAATTGCTTTATTTATTAACTGATATAACCACGTACCCTGGTTTACATTATTTAAATTTATTGCTGCAGTTATATATTGCAGTTAATAAATTGTATGTAAAATCATGATAGCAAAAAACCCCATTTCTGTTCGTTTATTTCTTCCGGGTACTTATTAGTTTTTAGCCTATTTGTTTTAAATGTATATTTCTTGTTAATCTATGGTACACAGTAGTTGTTTACAACGTTTTTGAAAACATTATTTCTTTATGTTCTGTCATGGTTTGCTTATCACTGATATTTCTAGACGAAATTGAATTCAAAACCATTTAAGAAACTAGCAAACTTACAACTATAATAGAAATACTTGTACCACAAAAAGACATCTATAGTAAGTTATCTGACATCTAAAAAGGAACTATAAAATGGAATAGATGTCAGATTAGTGTTATAAGAACTGTCAAATCGACTTTAACTTACTACTGATGTCTTTTTTATACGAAACATGACCATTTCTGGTTTGCAGTCCAAAACCGTGACTTAAACATCAATTTAAAATAAGAAGAATCGACTTACTTTTATTTTGTCAGTCCGTTATAAATATAAAAGTTCATACGTTTTATGATGATAATTTACTATAACAAGTTTTAAGTGGTCTTAACCTTTTAAATAGCTATAGTCTTTGTGTCGTTGAGAGCAAGGTTGATTTCAACATAAAACTTTATCGATTTCCAGATTTATTTTGATATTTACAAGTCAGCAAAATGTAAGAGGCGAATTATGAAGTCTAAGGGAGCGAGTGCAAAACATCTTATTCCTCCTAGTGGTAATTAAATGGGAGACACTAAATAAATATTGATATTTCAGAATAAACATGGTTACCCCTTTTAAGTTACAAGGGGAAATAATACACAAAAAACAATGATACATGTTTACATAATTTCTATTAAATTACGAATGGCAAGGGCTCACAAAACTTTGAGAATAATTTATAAATAATATTATTAATTATCTTATAATGAAATAGATCGAAGAAAGTCCTGGGAACATATCCTTTTTTCGTTCCTTTCAAATAACAGTTCCAACAGAAAAGGCTGGTGGAATTTAATCGTTTTACTTGTATCTTCGATTATAATGTAGTCGTTCTTTGCCTTTAAGTAATACATTGACGTCACTTGTAAATGTTGTCAATTGTCAATATTTTGTTAAACGAGGCATCAGCCGAGTCTGATCAAGGTTTTATATTAGTGAACGAGTCTAAAAGAATCAGTTTTGTCCACACACACGAGGAGCTTGTTACGAATATGCTTCATCCGTCAATACTAAATAAACCCCATCATATGCCCATACTGAACATGCTGATCCTTATAGTGCTAAATTCCTGAAAAATCTTCTTCGTCAACACCAGTTGAACCATAACAAATAATATTGGGCCTACTGATAATGTATTTATAACAATCACCAATTAACACATTTACATGCACTTACGCTGTATGTCATTGTACACCGGATGTGACCTGGTTTCTTAAGTGAAAACAATTATTTAAAAAAAAAAACAACAAAAAAACAAAAAAACAAAAAAAAACAACAAAAAACAAACAAACAAAACAAAAAGTAAGGAAAAATCTTTTTCTCAGCTAACATGACACTACTTTGACCTTAGTTTGAGATTGTTCTTCTCTTGATATAAAATTCAGATATGAAAGATGTACAAGTACTTGTATCAACAAAATAATCAAGATCTAATAAACTCATTGTTTAAAAATAATTGTAAAATACAACGTCACGGGAGAAATTATTACCCGAGTATCAAAATTCTATTTCCTTTTTCAGTCTCGTCGCAAAAAATGTACTCATCTACAAACTTTAAGTAAGATAGACGGAGAATTGATTGTACAACGATAAAAAGTACTCACTTCCAGTACAGGTTGTAGCTTTTTAGACTACTTGGTTTAGCGGGCAATATGTAATATTTTTCTGAGTATGATAAATAAAAACTCGAGAAATCGATCAACATCTGAGTTAGGTTCTGATTTCATTTTTCATAACATGTAAATATTATTTAATATATTGATATTTTCGGAATAAATAAATAAATAAATAAATAAATAAATAAATAAAATATTTTGTATACACTAGGCGCGTACATTTTTTGCTGTTAGTAATCAATTTTATGTCTATCTTACTGAACCTATGCGACTATATGAGGCAAGCTTTGAAAAAAATGTCAATTTTATTTTTTTAACGAGGGTCATAAAGAAACTAGGTTTTGGTATTTGAAATAAAAACAACAACATTCCTCCCGTGAGCGAAAGTGATTTTTCTTTACAAATTGTTATTGAATCTTGATATTTTGATTGTATTTGTACATAGAGAATAACATGCTACTGTCTTTTGATATCAATTTTATCAGGCGAGGCTGATATGGGCTAGAAAGGGCGAGGCATGTTTTTCTATTGATCATGTAACACATAAAAACTGTAAAAATAACTAAATAATCTACTTTTAAATAGCGAATTTCGTAAAAAAGGGGATTTTTGTTCAAAGAAATAATTCTTGAAAACAAATTCCTCCGCCCCTGAAACTTAGAATTTGTAAATGGCGGCCATTTTTTCTTTCGACTCCGATAAAAGATACAACAGAATGTAGGCCTAACACGATAAAATTCTTACCTTTAATTTAAACATTGATCAAAAAAATCCCTTTGTAGAATCATATAAACTTTACTGCACTTTTTGTCTTGAATTGTCAAATTCAAAAGTTCACGATAATTTCAATCAAACAAAAGTCCAATCGGCAATCAAACACAAGCTCCACAAACATGCGTCTTATGTTTTTTTTTAAACGAAACAATTTGTTCACTTATTAAATAATAGTCCGGTAAAATAAAGTTAACATTTACAAGTTCTCAAAGAAAATCGTCAAGCCTGTTTGTAATGTTTACATGTATAGTATGACGTGAACATTGATGATGTCATTTTCAATATAAATTATGACGTCACTTCATTTAGTTGGTGTCAAAACTATTCGCTATCTAATTTATTCGTAATTGAAATCAAATGATAAATAGATAAATATCGCATCTTGATTCAAGACTTGTAAGGGTATGCAATTACATTGTAGATTCACATGCTGATGAAAATGAGAATTAAGCAATTGAAAAAAGTCCGTTAAAATGGGCGGGGCTTATTTTTGATATCAGGTTACTGACCTGATATCAAAAATAATTATCAGGCAAGTGTTATCGGGCAGTTACCATAGCAGTTGCATGATAAATATGAATATCTGGCATCTATAAAAGGAAATATAGTGTTATAAGAACTGAGAAATTGATTTTAACTTACTATTGATAATTGTCTTGATTCATATCCGGTTTGAAGTCCCATGCCGTGATTTAAGCATCAAATTCAAATAAGTGCAATCGTAAGTTTTTGTTATAAATATAATCATTCTTACGTTTCATGACAATAATCATTTTTATGTGGTGATCTTAACTATTTAAATACTTATAGTCTTTAAGGTTGATTTCAACATAAAACAATTACGATTTCAAGATTTATTTTGATATTTCACAAGTCAGCCAATTGTAAGAGACGGTTTATGAAGACTATGAGAGTGGGTGCAAAACATCTATTTTTCCTTGTGGAGCATTAAATGGGAGACGATTAAATAAATATTGACATTACAGAATAAAGAAGGTTACCTCCCTTAAGTTTCCAATCGGAATTTACTCTATTAATATTTAAGCGTTGAACTTGTATCTTCGATTTCAAGGGGAAATAATTCATTCACAACAACAATTATTTATATGAAAGATTCCTATTTATTTGAGAATGGGAGTTATGGCCATGGCTCACTTAACTTTACGAATAATTTATAAATTATGTTATAAATTATCGATCGGAGAAAGCCCTTGAAATATATGCTTTAAATTACAGTTACAACAAATAAGACTGGTGGGGTTTAAGCGTTCAACTTGTATCTTCGATTATAATGCCTTTACGTCACTTGCAAATGTGCGATATAAGAAGATACGTATGGGACATAACTTGTCAGGGCTTATATCAATTAAGCGATCTTATCCAAGCGGGAAGTAAGTTCATTTGTCAGTTTCTAGGTATTGGTTAAGGTATATATTTGTTCGATCGTACGATAATAGAATAAACAAATTTTATGACACCAGTCATACGGATAGCCGTATCAATCGAACCACAATCAGAATCAAATGTAAGTTATTATGATATGTTATAATAAAATATATGATATCGTTCTTGTTAATTTAGAAGTGTTAATTACATAAATTCCGAAACACGCAAGTATTTTCATGTTTTCAAGCTGGCATATTTTGTTTTCTTACAATTTACATTTTTTAGACGATATGTTTCTTTTTTTAAAATAACTTTGTCATGTACAGTTATAAAGTCGATGATTTAATTTCATCAGATTCTGCTGTTTGTTTAAGTGGTCAGTAGAAGTCACATTATAATTCGAGATAACTTTCGTATCATAAGTACCATTTCTATTTATGTATGTCTGTTTACAAAAATCTATGTGTTGTGTTTTGAGGTTATTAAACATTGTTGAGTAAAAAACTGAATTTTAATGTGAATTGTCAATTTTATCTTGGACAAGGCATCAGCCCAGTCTGATATAGTTTTGTAGCAGTGAACGAGTCAAGTAGAATCAGTTTTGTTCTCAGCCATGTTTAATGACCCCTTTATTTCCAAGCACATTTTGACTGAACTTTGTTACTACAATATAATATGAGTTTGATTTGGATTTTCGGACTCTTAAAAATAAAAGCTATATACTAGATGAAGTATGATATGCATTTGATAAACAAAATTTGAACAATTAAAAAAATGAAAACGGGCATAATTATATGAAATGTGATGTGGATTTAATATAACTTTTTTGGACT